AAAACATGACTACTATAAATAACTGACATCAACATCTATTGAATCTCCACAAAATCCTGTTGATGCAAAAAGTCTCAGATCCAAAAGAAACCGGATCAGATATGACACATTTGGCATCCCAATAAATAAAAAGGTTAAATGCATTTGGTTTGGAAAGTCGGGTCTTTTGGCAAATCTGCTGGAAACTTTTGACTGCTTGGCTCAAAATGAATTAAATCTGGAGTGTTTTAACAAAAGCTCTGAGGTAGGATGAGCAGATATGGGCAGATATCCCTCTGAAAGTACAAGAAGTTCCTCAGTTCTTCCTTTTATAGCCTCAGGTCAGGCTCACAGAACTGTGGCCCCCGAACTGGTGTTCAGTCTGTTTCTGAAAAATAGACTTTATTGTTTGCTTTTAACCCTGTAATGCCAAATGTATCATATCTGATACAGTTTCTGAAATGTTTTGCGTCTGACTCCTTTTGCTCAATTTAATAGTAAAAACTTTGCTCAAAATCCTATTGTACACAATCAGATACACCTGATAACCTCTTGACTTATCGCATAGTAATAAATTATTATTATAAAAAATGTATTTCTGTTTTTTCTTTTTACATATTTTGTTAAAAGCCAAATAAGGAATTCAAACAGAAAAAAAAAGTAATTTTCTGTTTATTTTTATTCTTGGATCAGGCTTTAAAGGGCTAGAGTTTTAAACAGAAAATAACCAGACAGATCTAATCCTTTCAGATGGCTGAGGCCATCTTTTCCTTGATATTTTGAGTGAAGAACAATCAGGTGATGAAGCCTTTACAGCCCTGAAAGTGTGGGACATAAAAACCAGCCGGACATCAGACATGTAGAGATGAGAACAAAGCCAAATCTGGCCCTGAAACGGACGCTAGTTTTGGGACATTTTGTTGGGCACACACTAAATTTGTTGGGCGATTTTAGAACTGAAAGGTCACGCAGTTAATTATGATTTAACAGTTTTTTTTTGACAGAGGAAACATCTAAAGAGAGGGAAGGTCTGAAATACTATCCATTATTGAGGAAGATTATCTAATTGTTTCAAAAGAAATTACCAAAACATTGGGGTTATGGGTCAGATTTGACATTTTTTTGATGATTAAACCTACAATTCCACAATTGTTTCCTCCAGACTGACCTCTTGGCACCAAATAATCTGCCATAATTTCGATTCAGTCCTGTTTCTTGTCTTTTTATATATTTATTTTCATCTGTAGCTTTATTCAACTATGAAGTGCTTTGTCAGAATTTTTCTTTTTAAAATGTCAAACCCTAAACTGAGAAATCTGCCTTGAGAAAGATACAGGAAAGCACACCAAACAGTACCAGAGATCCTAATAAAAACACAAAAAACTAGCAAGCGACACCTTTTTATTTGAGTTCCACACTGAAAGACTCAGAGATAATCTGCCATAATTTCGATTTGGTCGTGTTTCTTGTCTTTTTATATATTTATTTTCATCTGTAGCTTTATTCAACTATGAAGTGCTTTGCCAAGCATAATAAATCTACAAAAAAGGAGCTAGGTAAATATTACACACCAGTAAACATGTTCTTTTTTCCTTTTTTCAAACTTTTTTTTTCTGTTGTTGTTAAACTTCTACACAAAACCAAAATTCTTTGGAGAAATTCTGAGAAATCTGCCTTGAGAAAGATACAAGAAAGCACACTAAACTGTACTAAAGATCCCAATAAAAACACCAAAATCTAGCAAGCAACACCTTTTTATTCGAGTTCCACACTGAAAGACTCAGAGATAATCTGCCATAATTTCGATTTGGTCGTGTTTCTTGTCTTTTTATATATTTATTGTCATCTGTAGCTTTATTCAACTATGAAGTGCTTTATTAGAATTTATCTTTTTAAAGATGCTCGAACCCTAAACTGAGAAATCTGCCTTGAGAAAGATACAAGAAGGCAAACCAAACTGTACCAAAGATCCCAATGAAAACACAAAAAACTAGCAAGCGACACCTTTTTATTCGAGTTCCACACTGAGAGACTCAGAGATAATCTGCCATAATTTCGATTTAGTCGTGTTTCTTGTGTTTTTAAATATTTATTCTCATCTGCAGCTTTATTCAGTCGTGTTTCTTGTGTTTTTAAAAATATTTATTCTCATATGCAGCTTTATTCAACTATGAAGTGCTTTATCGGAATTTTTCTTTCTAAAATGCTTGAACCCTAAACTCAGAAATCTGCCTTGAAAAATACACAAGAAGACACATTAAACTGTACCAGAAATCCCAATAAAAACACCAAAATCTAGCAAGCGACACCTTTTTATTTGAGTTCCACACTGAGAGACTCAGAGATGATCTGGTTTTTGGTCAAACGGGGTTTAGCCTCAGCAGACGTCCCTCTGGACCCGTCCACAGTCGGTGCTCAGCGTGTTGCAGGAGGCGCAGGTGCAACTCCGGGCCACCGGGTAGCTCACGGCCACGTCGCAGTCCTCAAAGTGCTTCACCTCGTAGAACCAGTCCCCCGTGCAGATCTTCTGCTCCGGGGGGTTCTCAGGGCTCACCAGGACCGAATCCTGCAGGCGGAGGAGAGAAAGGGCCGTGATTACACTTTTAAAAAAGTTTTTAAATTGATTTCCTTTTCAAAATTTATTTTAAATTAATTTTAATAATATGTTACATTTATTTATTTATTTATTAAATGTATCTATTTTATTTATTTATTTTATTTATTTTATTTATTTTATTTTATTTTAAATATATTTTATTTTATTCAGGGCTGACCAGGACAAATTTTATTTTCAAAATTTATTTTAACTCATTGGCTGCCAAAGACGTCTATAGAGGTCTTTTATGTTTTTAACGAGAGTGTCTGGGGGACGATCTGCTAAAGCTTGTCCGTAAATATGGGCTTCTAGACAGAGTATGTAGTAACAAATTGA